GAGCAGAATAGTGTGGAGCAGAAACCAAGGTGTGAGTAGAAAGCTATTTGAGAAATTAAAGTCCTTCCAGCCCTAGCCCCAACTTGAGGGCTTCTGAGTCTTCAAACGGCCATGTCCACACATTTCCCTGCAGTCCTAAGTCCACCAGATTCAGACAAATGCTTTCTGAAGAAGGCATTCGAGACTCTTAAGATTCCAAAGCCAGCACCAAATACCAGATTTGCACACTTGGATAATACTTAGATATACAAGAGGTATACGAGAGTTGATGCTCTCCACAGTGTGTCACTTGCACCCATTGTGCCAGTTACCTCTTTGTGGCTTTTGCGTAAGTGAGCCAGTTCCTCTCTGAGGGACTCCAGCTCCCCTTCCAGCTTCATACGTAGGAAGTTAGTGTCATCTATCATTTTGCGCAGCCCATGGGTATCCTTTTGTACACTGTCACACACAGCTTGCTCAGCTTCCAGCCTGGAAAAAGTGAAAAGGGCAGGAGTTTAAAGATCACAATTCGGGGCTTAAAATGTGTGGCTGGCAAGGAGAGCTCAAGACCGATCCTCATGTTTCTTTCTATACTCAGGTGTACATGCATGATCATAAAATATATACACAGTACATGAAATACAATGAGTACATGCATGCAGAGCTAACTGTTTCTCTAAGATGCAGAAGTTGCCTGGCCTTCTAATGGTTACTTCCAAGCTTTCTAAAGATGCATGAGCTCCTGCCATATATAACAAGACTCAGATATCTGTGTATTTCCTTTTTTAAAATACCTGCCATTTGGTTCAAAAACCTCTCAAATCTGTTTACAAAACAGACGCAGCTGCCGAGTTAGTTGGTAGAGGGCGGTCAACTCAGTTCTGCTCCCCCACATCGAAGACTGAAAATGGCTTTCCTTGCTCCCCTGATGAGGAGGGGGAGTTTTCTGTGGGGATTTATGAGCGTCTTTTCTACTCCTGGCCAATAACCTATCTAGCTTGAAGTGCAAGAGTCAAAGCTGTTGAAAAGTATAATCAACCGTTTTTGCTGTAAGTAGCAATAAATCAGTAGTTGAATCGTTTGCTGCTTCTGTCTCAATCGTGGCTTCTACACTATGCGGCTCCCTTAAAGGGAAACGGCACAGGTTCGTCATCCGTGTTTAAACAAGCAAAACGGTTTGCAGTTGAAACTTTGGGGGGACAACATTCGGTGACTCAAAGTAGTCCCCAATCTTAGCCTGCTTTGGTGACAGATACGTCAAACCCTTCTCCAGTTCCTTTCCCCTCTTCTGTGGGAGCCAGTTTGGTGTAGTGGTTAAGTGTGCGGACTCTAATCTGGGAGAACCGGGTTTGATTCCCCACTCCTCCACTTGCACCTGCTGATGTGACCTTGGGTCAGTCACAAGCTCTGGCACAGCTGTCCTTGAAAAAGAGCCATTTCTGCCAAAGCTCTCTCAGCCCCGCCTACCTCACAGGGTGCCTGTTGTGGGGAGGGGAAGGGAAAGGAGTTTGTAAGCCACTCTGAGACTCCTTTGGGTAGTGAAGTGCGGGGTATAAATCCAATCTCTTCTCCTCTTCTCTTCTTTTTGTAGTTTCATGCTAATAGTGATTAGGTAAATAACAAAGCACCCTCCATAGAAAGCCGTGTAATCACTCTGGCGGGGAGCCCAGAAGCCAGAGTCAAAGATATAAAAACAAGGATAAGACACCAAATTTATTTCATCGCCAGAGAGATTCTTCCGCTAGGCACCAAACATCAATTAAAGACCTTAAAGCCTCCTCTCAACGGAGCTCACTCGGGTGCTGCCACACAGCACACAGAAAATTGGTTTCATGTCGAAAGAGCCCATCAACTTACTTATGCTTGAAGTCATCAGCTGCTAGCCTGGCATTGTCTATTTGCAGAAGCAGTTTGACATTCTCCATGTTTAGATCTTCGACCTGTCATGGAAAGAGACATCTTTATATGTATAATCAACATGAACTGAAAGAACTGCACCTTTAAGACCAACAAAGTTTAATTCTGGGTATAAGCTTCCATGTGCATGCACACTTCTTCAGATATATTGAAATGGATTTCCTCAAGCTTTACATATAGGTGGTGGGGGGGTTAGTTGCCAGGAAGGGATAGTTAGAGTCAAGATGCATAAGTAACTGGGTGATAAGTATAGCTGAGATTGGATTAAAGCAGTTGTTAAGATCTGTAAAAAGGTAAAGGTTCCCTTGCTCGAAAGCCAGTCGAATCCGACTCTAGGGTTGCGGTGCTCATCTCCGTTTCCAAGCCGAAGAGCCAACGCTGTCCGAAGACGTTTCCGTGGTCATGTGGCCGGCATGACTAAACACCAAGGCGCACGGAACGCTGTTACCTTCCCACCAAAGTGGTACCTATTTATCTACTTGCAATTTCTTGCTTTCGAACTGCTAGGTTGGCAGGAGCTGGAACTAGAGACAGGAGCTCACCCTGTCTTGCGGCACCCGGGTCTTGAACTGCTGAACTACTGACCTTCCACAGCCTGCAGTTCAGCGTCTTAACCACTTGAGCCACCGCAGATCTGTGGAAGATCTGTGGAAGATCTGTGGAAGGCAGCAAATTAGCATACAAATACCAAGAGTAAACAGATGTGAGAACTAAGTTTGAGTCCACTGGCACCTCCAAAACCAACAAAGTTCAATTCCGGGATTCCAGTTCTGGTCAGGGGACTACAAATTCTAATGTCAGGTTCAACAGTCAAACAAGTGGAGCACAGTCTTCCAAGAAGCATATACTTTATTGTCAGTACTATTGACAGGGCCGGCAGCGAGCCGGCCTTTAGGGCGTGGGAGGAGAGGCAGGGGCGCCAGGAGCGAAAGATACAAAGGGGCGCTCGGCTGCTGCCGCTGCTGCGGGTGTGCCCGCCGAGCCCCTCACCCGGCTCTGGCAGATCACATTGTCGCTCCCGGAGTCCTCCACGAGCGCCATGGGGCCTGAGGGCAGCTGAGGGGCGGGGTCGCCTCACTCTCGCCCGCCAGGAGACCGTGGTGGCAGCTTGGTGCTGGTTGACATCACTGCCGCACTTCCCCTAAGAGAGGCGCAGGAGAAGTCCTCCTGCCCCTCGAAGCCCGCCGTGCTGCGCAACCCCCCTGAAACCTCCTGCCTCCGTGCAGCCAAAGGGGCGTCAAGCAAGAGAATGTGGGCGGGGGGGGGAGGCGGCCGACGGCTGCTCCGCTTCAGGGGGGCTTCCATCTATAAAGGGAGCGGGAGGGAAATCTTCCCTGGCCAGTTTCCTTGTAGCGGGTTAAACGTGATTACTTACTCGGTAAGAAGGATCTCGAATGTTCTTAAATGCTTTGAGAGCATTTAAAAATGCAGCATTAATGTTAGACCCCGTCGCACTTCCTAGAGGAGGCGGGAACCCTACAGAGAAGCGGCTCTTTTGCAGTCCTGCCCGTGGCACAGGGCGCCCCCCAGTCCCCGGACAGGCCGCCCGCCGGATTTCCTTCGGGAAACAGAAAAGCACAGCGGAGGGCCCTTGAAACAACTTATTTGAAAGCCTTTGAAAGTCCACATCATGTTGCTTTTCTGTTCTAGCCAAGGCAACATGTTGGAGGGTTTCGTTTTTCCATTGCAGGGCTTTGGAAAGGAAACTCCCCCTCAGGTGAAGTATGAGAGTCGGCAGCAGGTTGGCAACAGAAGCTGATGCCGGGAGCAGGTCCCTCTCCACGGACTGCTGACCCCCCCAACAGACCTGAAGTGAGGCCGAACAGAGGAGCTCCAGGGAGGTGCCCAAGAAGAAGAGCCAGCCACGTCGGGAGGCTGCGGGAGTCTCCCAGGCCAAGGGAAATCGATGGGGCCTTTCTTTCTCAGCGTTTCCTGCCCGCTGGCGGCGGCCAGCCAGTGGCCGGCTGGGCGGGAGTGGCCCCTTCTCTGGCGCAGTGCTTTCCTCCTCCCTGCCCACCCGCCGCCGCCTTCTTTCTCGCGTCTCCAGGCCCTGCCGGGAGGTTGGCATCTGCGCTCGCCTAGAGCGCAGGACAACCTCGGGCCAGCCCTGATTATTGATCAGGAACACAAGCAGTGTTAGGAATGAGTCAAAAGGGAAAGCTTACTGAGATATACTGAGTTCAAACTAACCCCCCCACACACACACTTGTGGGCCAACCAGCTTGATTTCTGCGGGTGGGAAGGAATAACCGATGCAGCTGAGCTGGGATATGAAACCAGTCACACGGTTGATTAATATGAAGACACTACAACTAGACAGTGGTACAAGGTTACAGATAACAGGAGAAGCGATGCAGAGAAAGGAATGGGGCGTACGCTGGTCAGGCGGGTGCCCCCTCAGTCCATAAACAATATGGCAGTGTAGCTGACTTTCTGCCCACCTAAAGAAAAATCTCCCGGTTAGGCCAGGAGACCTCCCGGTTTTCCCGGGAACTCCCAGTGAAACTTTCGCAACGGTTTAGGGGCCCGAATATCCTCTACTTCCACCCATTCATGGTGCTGGGGTCCAAAATCCAACCACTCCACCAGGTAAATTATTCTCGATGCTTGGGGATCCAACAAAACCAGAGCACGTTTTAATAAGCTGAAATGAAACACACAATGAATATGGCGCAAATTTTTCGGGAGGTCCAGATCCACAGCCACCTCCTTAATGAGGCGTTTCACTTTAAACGGTCCAATAAACTTCCAACCCAATTTGCGGCTGGGGCGCAACACCTTAATGTTTTTAGTAGACACATAAACAGAGTCACCAGGCTGCAGAACTAAAATACAATTCCATGACATTTGCCAGAAATGGGCAATTTTGCAACACCCCTGTACATACCTGCTAATAGCAAATCTGACATCTATCAGGGGTCGGATGGAGCTGGGTCTCCAGGAATTTCCTGGAGAAGTTGGCATAACACTGTGTAGCGAGTCGCGCCGCCGCAGAGGGCCTCAATCTTGGCCAAGCAGGCCTGCAGCTCTTCAGAGAGAGAGGAAGATGGCAGGCAGCTGCGCTGGGCCACCGTCAACTTCAAAAAAACAGCAGCAGCAGCGTGACAACTTGACCAGGCCCAATAGGACCAGCCCCAAAGGTTGCCCTGTATCAGTATGGCAGCGGCGGGTCCTGGTTTCGGGGAAATTTCCCCCGTCGGCCGGAGGCTCCCAGGCCTGGAGAAGCACGTGCGTTCCTGGATGGCGCACTGCCCCAAGCAGACCCACGATCTTGCACCACAGTCAGCCCCACCACCACCCGCTTTCCTCACGGCTGACGGGGGAGGATTCCAGACGAACGGCCCTTTCCGTCCGCATCAGGGAAAGGGGGCGCCGGTGGTGGCACTCGCCGCAGGACCGGCCAGACGGGCACCGCCGATGCCGGGACTGAGTCGGAGCGCCCTGGGCCAGGCACGCACGATGGGAGCGCCGACTCGGGGAACTGCCCCGTCGCTTGCCAGCGCCTTGACTCCCTCCCTCGCCACAAAAAGAGGCCGGGACGAACAGAAACTTTCCTGAGTTGGCGCTCCCGTCGTGCATGCCTGGCCCAGGGGGCCCCAACTCACGCAAGTTTGTGCTACCAGAATTATTGGTGGACTTTAATTGGCTAGACTGGAGGCCCATTTATAGAATAATAATAAACAAATACAGAAGGAAACAACATCTGGCCTTATACTGTATATGTATTTAACATCTTATGTAAAAAATTTTTTGAATGTATGTCAAATTTGTAATTGGAATTGTGACCACTGAGGAAGGCCCTTTGAAGGGCCGAAACGCGTTTGGTTCAGTTGCACACTTCCGGTGATGTCAGGGGGTGTGGCATGAGTTATGCTAATGAGTTCCCCTAGCTCTTTTTCTACGAAACGACCCCTGAGAACACTGCTGGTTTGGCTAACTTCAAAAACATCACAAAAGAGTGGCTGAGGACTAAAAAGAGATGGTGTAAAGAAAGGAGCAAGGAAACTAAAGAAAGGGGCACACAGAGAGCAGGCTTGCCACCTACTCCTTATTTCAAGGGGCTGTTCCTTACTTGGCATTAAGACGACTTCCTTTTCAACAGTAATACATAATTAAAACATTGCAATGGAGATGGCAAATTGTAATAAGACAGTGGTAGTGACCTGGCGTACATATTACATCATTTTCTAAAGGCTTTGCACTATGTTCCTATTTTAGAGGTCTTCAGGCCGCAACCTTAGTGCAGAATAAAGTTTTAGTTAAAAAAAGCAGAGGAGACAGGGAAATGAGGGGGGCTGTAAAGAAACATCATAGAGCTTAAAATCAGGAAGGGTTTTACCATGGGGGAAATGGGGGGAGAAGTGATCAGAAAGCTGATCAAAAGTCTGTGGAGGGGAGTTGCTGAATAAATTGGGACACAGTTACCTAAAAAGCAGGGAGCCGAAGAGAGAAGTTAAGGAAGAAGTGCATATTAGGCCGAGAGAGAAGAGGAAATGTGCACCAGGGACCTGCATTCAGGTATCATAATCAAATAGAATTGGGGGGGGGGCTTTGTTCTTATCTTCGTTATAACTAATTTTCTAAAGTTAATAACACCTATTAAAACCCAGATCTCATCATCTTTATGGTACATGGCTTACAAACCACAGAAGAGAGGACTGAGATGCAGCGTCTCTTACTGTGCAAGTGTGGGGCCCTGCACTAGCCCAGCCAGGCTGAGATCTAGTGCAGGCCAAGAGTCTTCTTCCACCTCTCTTGGCACCTTGGTGTACCTTTGGAAATGTAGTCCCAGGATGCACCAAGGAGTGACCTGGGTACACCAGGAAGATCATCAGAGATGCTGGGAGAGGGAGGGAAGGAGAGGGATTCTTGGCGTGCACCAGCCCACCAACCCCTGAATAGGCAGGGACAGCCTGGCTTGCTCTACAAGGGGAGAGGGGGTAGAATGAGTAATGAAAAGTGAAAAAAATTCTAACTGAAAATGTAAAAATAAATTGTGCACACCTCTACTGTGCACTATTTG